GAGAGCTACCTCCCTCAGGACAAAGACAGTCGACATTATGTGGATTTTATCATGATTCTTAAAACAATTATATTAACAATGGAACAACCAGCTTTAGTCTTATTTCAAGCACAGCTAAAGCAAATGTGTTCTTGATTCCATTGGAAAATCTTGTTTTAAGACCGCCAAAATGTTCTCTAATTTAGTCAAATTTGGACAATTTCTATCTTTTTGTTGTTGTGTCATAATCTTAATTTATTAGTGCAAATATTATATATTTAACTTTGGGGAGCTACTTTGAAGATGGTGGAGAGCCACTGGTAGTTCCTGAGCTATAGTGTGAAGACCCATGAGGTAGATGGATTCCACCACAATTTTGTGTGGTTTGAAAGTCAAGTACCGCAGCTTTAATCTCTCCCTGGGACTGCTTTTAGTAACCAGATTAACTATTGACTATTGTTAGCAGAACATGTAGCATTAAGACGACAGAAGCTCAACTCAAACAGAGCCGTGTACATTATTCATTAGGTTCTAAATTCTTCTGATCTTTTCCTGCGTGAGCCGCCGGGCGTTTGGAACATCCTGAGACTGAGCGGTTAATCCTGGAGTCCGCGGGGGGGCGGTGCGGAGGGAGTGGACTCGGGCCGGTCTCCTCAGACGTGTTGAATCAAAGGAGCAGCCTGCAGCTAATGTTTCAGGCCTTACTCAGCAGCGAGCCACAGCGATTTTATCAAACACACGTCAGGTTTTCCTTATTGCAAAATGGGCGTGTGCATCCAGGCGGTTAAGACTGCAACACAGACCTGTTCCAGGTCCTGCCTGGAGCCAACAGTTACACACAAGGCGTTAAAGGCCAGTATGAAAACATGTTACACAAGAGATGGCTTTGTATTCTGTTTGGGGAACATTATCTATACATTAAACAGCTTAAACAAATGTGGAAGGAAATGATTATAGCTCCAGCCCAGGCTCGAGGGCGGGCTGGTCGTATCACTGCTGACCCCTCTCAAGGACTGTTTGAACTACTCCCCTCAGGCAGAAGATGGGTCAAGCCGGTCCAGAACCCCCCGCCACAGGAACAGTTTCCCCCCTCTGCAGTTGGACTCATGAACAGTCTATAACTCATCACTGTGCCCTGCTCTTTACGACGTCACCTTTTACTATCGTCACTTTACTGCACTGTTAAATGTCTATTGTGTGCACTTGTATAAAGTAGACATTTTATGAAGATTTTATTTGCATGCCTTTTATCTATTTTTTACTCTTAAAACTTGTTTGCACCTTGAGCCAAAGCAAATTCCAAGTTTGTTCCCATTACTTACAATGGCAATAAAATAATTCTGATTCTGAAGTTAAAAAGGTTTATGAAGTAACTGTTACATTGAACCATAAATTATTGCTCATTATTATCATCATTAGTGCTTTAGACTCGCAAAGCACTTGGGAATGGCAACAGGAGGCGCATTTCGTAAACTGGAGCATGCAGGAAAATTAATCAGACGGGGAGAACATGCAAACTCCACACAGAAAGCCCCTGTCTGGAGGTGTGGTTAGCGCTGTTAAGCACAACAGCTAACCACTGTGCCACTGTGCTGCCCACTTTATTCATTTGTATATTACACAATTGTGAGAAGGTGATAATTCAAACTAAAAGAGTATTTGGGGGTTATTTTGTGCCCCTCTCCTTTGCTGTTCATGTATTGATTTTTGTAAACCGCCAAAAAATTATTTGTAGGTTAGTAAAATAAATGTTTATAGATTTGGTTTAATACAGTTTCTATCCAAACCCCACCAGGTGGATTGCATCAGTAATCGGTGCCTTTGAGCTACGCGTGTCACAGGCAGAAGATTCTGGCTACATTGGTGAGATTTTACTTGTGATAATTTTATATTAGTCCACCCAGAGTACAACGGTCCCCTCAAAAGTTAAGAACAGTGGGCATATACTGTGGTGAAAACCTGATTGTTTTAGAAGCAGCAAAGATCCTTCAATGAGAAGAGAACACGTTTGTATTATTATAAACTGTTGGGTCAGATCCAAACATGTTGTTATGTAATGTTAGCAGAGGATGACATCATCGTGAGAATGTTACTAAGATTGGATTCAGTTCAAACTTAAACTGAATATTACGTGATACAGTTGTGGGGGAGGCCACACCTGCACTGGTCACATATCTGCAGCTAAGCAAGACATGGCCTGGTTAGTACTGTGATGGGAGATTGGACACCTCGCTCATTTGTTTTGTGGCAGTAACAGAGGTTAAAAAAAACCTTAAGCAGCCAGGTTGAACACATTATTTTCTAGGAAAAGCAATCATTTTGAAAAACCCATTACCTAAAATAAACAAATCTATTCCAACGCCTTTACAGGGGGCAATTCAATATTCTACTTTTTTTGATGGCGAGTTTTTCACAGTGCATTTCAATGGATTCAAGCTGAGCGTCGCATTGGGCTGGTTAAGATCTCAGCCCTTTATGCAACCGTAAGTGCAGACATTACATCACTGAGGTCAGTGCTTCTCAAAGTGGGGTGCGTGCAAAAGCATGACTGTGGGTGTGTGATGGGGCAGACAGTTTAAGCTAACGCGCCCTTGTCCCAGCTCTAATGGAAGCAACACTGATGTTTTAAAGTTGCAATGATCGGTGTGTGCCTCCATTGAATAACATGGGATTTTTTTCATGCGTCTCTATGTCTGCCACATGCACATTGTTTAACAGCAAACTTCTAATGATATACTTTTTAAGAAGATGTTGAGCGATTTTGAGCCCTGTTGGTGAAACCAGCTGCTCCCATTGATACAGAATGGGGAGTTTTTACCATATTATGCTATTGAGAATCAAAATGGTTCTTATTGCCCTTGTAGGTAACAGGGAGAGACAAACTACTTATTTTCTTTGATTGCACAATTTTTTTTTTAATTGTTCCCCAATGTTCTGTCAGTGCCTTGCTTTCGTATGTGGTGCAGATAAGTTATAAAAAGTAAAAAAATTATATAAAAAGGCACACATAAAAAATCTTTTAAAAATGCAAATATATAAATACACACAATAGACATTTAACAGAGCATTGGTTATCTGCAAAAGTGCAAGATGTTGATGAAGAAAGAAATTTTGAGGTGAAAAGAGACAGATTAGGTGATAACCCGAATAGTCGGTGTGAGTTGCTAAAGTGCAGACGCACCCACCGTCTGACCTGCGAGGAAACGGTAAACAAATGATGTTAACTCCTGTCATTAGCCGCGTCAAAACACCACTACTTTGCAATTATCTGTGGTGAAAAAGACATAGCAGCCACTGCTAGAGCAGCACGACATTATCTGCAACTTGCATGTAATGGAAATGGCAGCTTTATTAGATAAAAGCTGAAATAAATGTCAACTCCACGTGGTGTGTCAAAAGCCAAGGTTACGAGTGTGTTTCAAGAAGATATGGAAACAGATAATTCAATAGAACGGTATTTTCCACAGCACAGTTTTGGTTTTATGGATGTTGAAAGAAGATAGAAGGCAGAGGCAAATTATTACACTGGACACCAGTGGCTCATTATTATATATGTTGAATTTTAAAACCTCAGTATGAATCAAACTCCCATCAAAGCTGCGTATCAAAGAACAGCACACAAAGAAAGTAAAAACGGTGTATTCCGATGCATTCTAAAATCACTTTTAGATAAACATGGTTTAGTTGTAATAATTCATATATTGTTTATTATCTATATATTTTATAAGGTTTTTCTTTGCCTATGCAGGAGGGTCTGTTAGACTGTCTCTAACAAGAAGGACTGTGGTGATGATCCAGGACACTCTACAGTCTACGAACATTGGTCCCTCCCTATGAACCAATACATATGTGTTCTATATTTTTTGTGTCTTAACTGTTGATTCTCTGATCTGTGTTGGTGATTTCAATGGTTCTGTTAAGTCCTCTGAGATGACTGTGTTGCCCTAAACTGTTTAGGGCTATACAAGAAAAAAGTGAATTGAATTGAATCTGGGAGACAGCTCATCTAGGGGAATCCTGGGGTGTGGCAATACTTGCATGCGAAAGCCAGATCCCGTCAGACCTCTGAAGCTGTGCAAGGCAGGGCCTGGTTAGTACGTGATGGGAGACCTCTGGAAACACCAGGTGCCACAGTGGGACGGCTGCGGCTGTGTAGTGCCAACCTGTCCTCTTGTACTTAGGCAAGATAATTCACTCACATTAACTAGAATGAGTCTTGTGTGTGTGAATGGCCGGTGGTGGTCAGAGGGCCGTTGGCATATACTGGTTGCCTCGCTTCCGTCAGTGTGCCCTAGGGCAGCTGTGGCTACAATATTAATTGTCACCATCGTGTATGGAGTGAATGAATAATGACATGTGAAGCGTCTTTGAGTGTCCTGAAAAGCGCTATATAAAACCAATTTTTTTTTTTTTTTAAAGAATGTTCCCAGGACACACTGGCCTGGGACTTCCCCAGGGTCTCCACCCAGTGAGAGTATAACCATATTTTTACTGAACGATTAGAAATGTATTGTATCGAATCGTTTCAAATTGAAAGTGTGTGGAGATATCAGCAGGCTCTGAAAGATTCCCAGCCCTTTGGCATATGTGACAAGTTAAACAGGTTATAGTGTCATTCTCCATTTAAAAAAACAGTTTTTGCAGAACTATAAGTCGCTACTTTTTTGTAGTTTTGTGAACTCTTGTGGTCTATATAGTGATGCGGCCAATGTATGTATTTTTATAATGTGCTCCCCGGGGCGCAGGAAAGGGATTTGGACACATCAGCTGTTAATCTCCAGAGCTGGCATGACGTAGAGCACATTCTTGCATCCTGGAGTATTTATGCGATACAATGATACACAGGACTGGATTTTATGTGAATAGGGCTATGGTCAGAGCAGAGATTACGCTTGAAATCCAAATACATTCTAATCACCAAATTTTAAGAGCTCTGCTAAACCAAGGCTTACACCAGAAAACGTGTCTTTAACGCATGAGCAAGACACTGAGAATCATACAACACAAGAGACGAGACTCACCTGCAGTTTGGTGGAGGGTCCAGTGTGATGTCCGCCAGTTCTTTCTGAATTCTGCAAAAGAAATTGAAATCCAGGTTTAGAATAGCACTAAGAAAAGACATTTTTGCACAAATACTGCATTAAGGTGATCATTACAATCCAACAATTATATATTGTTACATATATAACATATAACATCTGGCAACTGCAATGATAGTTTTTCCTAATTCTCAACCTTATTTTTGCTTTAAAGCTTCTTAATATGGTCACATATCTTAAGCTAAGCAAGGCATGGCCTGGTTAGTCTTGTGATGGGAGATTGGACACCTCGCTCATTTGTTTTGTGGTAGTAAAAGCAGGGGTTGTGGTCTGATTTACAGGATAAATTCTCAAAATTCTTCCCTGTAAAACGTACCATGAATCGTTTTGCAAAATTAATTCCAGCTATACATTTTATTTAGACTGTCCTGACCTCTCCAGCTCATCCTTGCAGCTTCCTCACTGTGGGACATTCCGGGAGGCGTCCTAAGCAGAAACCTCATCACCTCAACTGTCACTCATTGACTTGAAGGAGCAGTGACTCTACTCTGAGCTCCTCCCCGATCCCCTCTCCTCTACATCTCAAAGGGAGCTCAGTAGATCGGTGGACCAATATATATTTAAAAAATGCTGTTAAAGTGTTAATTGTATGTTTCTTGTGTTTTTATTGTGTATAAGGAAGTAATCTTAATTTATATAGCGCATTTCCCAAACCCAGGCCACACGGGGAGAGCTCTTTGCAATTGCTGTTGTACCAGTAATTCCCAATCACTCCACACACAGCGATGACAGAAGCCAGACGCCAAACACTTGGTGCATCACAGACCCTGACCGTCACAATTCATTCACTCACTCTTTGCGTATCGTATTTAGGAGAAACCGAATCACCTGGGTGAAAACCTATGCAGACAAGGGGAGAACATGCAAACTCCACACAGAAAGGCCTGGAGGTGGCCTTTTTTAATCGTTATAACGATAAGTTTGTGCATGCTCTCAGTCGTACAGGGATTAGTCAAAGCAAAGGAAGGTTTCTCACCCATCATCTGTACTTCTTGGCAGATTTTCCTGACGTTTCGTCCTTAATCCAAAGAACTTTTTCAAGGGAATGATTAAGGAGGAAACGTCGGGAAAACCTGCTAAAAAGTACATATGATGGGTGAGAAACCTTCTTTGTGTTATTATTAATGTTATTGTTATTAACTTGGACCTGTGTATGTGTTTTGCATGTGTTTTAGATCCCTCAGTTTCTCTGGTTATGAAGTCACAAAGCTTAATTCTTTCAGCAAATATTTTTAGATGAATATATGATCACAGTCATAAATAATAGAGGCCACAGTATCTGGACAGCACAGTACCGACCTTTTGGCGCTGGTGGAGAGGAGCTTGGAGGTCTTGCTCATGCTGCCTTTGCTGTCACGCTTCTTGGGTGTGAAGTCCTGCTGCTGCTGCGGCTGCGGCTGCTGCTGCTGCTGTTGCTGTTGCTGCTGATGATGCTGCTGCTGCTGATGATGATGATGTTGCTGTTGCTGTTGCTGATGCTGTGTGGAGGATGACGAGGAAGAAGAGCTGGAGCTGGTACGCGAATCTTCATCCGACATACCGAGCCTGGACATGGATGTGAGGGTTAGACCAATAAGCATGGGGTAATTGAAGTCTTCCTACGAAATATTACCACAGCTTTCAGATCCGAATCAGAATCATTTTTATTGCCATGTAAGTAACAGGAAGTCACAGAATAGGAAATTGCTTTGGCTCAGTGCAGCATTCAAAGAAGAGAAGTAAAGAATAGAGTAAGTAAGGCATAATAAAAATCAGCATACACTTCTAAGGTATAAAAATAAAGACAAAATTATTACAATTACTATATACAATATACAAGTGCATATGGTGCACACAATATGCTGATAGATTGGTGTCTGAAACCGATCTCGATAGTTACCACAAATACTGTTCATATCTATACTTTGTAATAAAATCCATCTAATAATGCATTGGCTTTATATAGTTCTTTTTTTGGGTAGTCAAATAAGCTTCACATTATTCACTCACTTCATCCACAGTGGTGATAAACTACTACAGTAGCCACAGCTGCCCTGGAGCACACGGACAGAAGCGGCAATCAGTATGTGCCATCGGCCCCTCCAACCACCAACCATTCATCACACACCAGACTCATTCTAGGCAATTTGGGTGAAGTGTCTTGCCTCAGGACACAACGAGAATTTGGCACTTTACAGCCGCCCCCACTGTGGCACCTGGTGTTCCCAGAGGTCTCCCATCACAGTACAAACCAGGCCCTGCCTTACTTCAGGGGTCACCATCAAAACAGTCTGGGTCTATCAGTAGTTTTAGATCAGCTTTTTCAGACAGAAAAGAGAAAAACTAAGGAACACTCAGCAATCAGCTCTCAGCCCAAAGCATCAAATAGCGACTCACAGAGCACTCTCTTAAAAGTGCTCACAAGACGACCCGTTTTCTGATGGGACAGTATGCTGTAGTCTGATTTATTCACCATTATTCATATATTTTTCTAACCCCAAATTCGCATCAAGGTGTCAACAAGGCATTAATATAGCCACATCTTCCATCCAAGAATCTCTTTTAATTTAAACACAACGTTTCAAAATACAATCAAAACAAACTTCCGAAACAAGTGATCTGAAGTCACAGAAAGACAATGTGCTTGTGCATGCATGACCTCGAGGTTATTGCATCATGAGGGACTACAGCAAGTGTTTTGTCCAAGAGGAACAATATACACTTTCACAAGGACAACTTTATACAGGACAAAGCAGCACACTTAACAGCGCAACCTCTGAAGGAAAGTGCTTTTGTCACCCAAACACGGCGTCATGGCTTGTTACGTTGTCATTATGCAAAGTGTTTCCCTCTTAAGTCGTTTTTAAACTTTACCAGCCCCATTCATGAGCGCTGTGACAGTTTTGGCGTTTTGAACGGGACAGTGTGCATTGCTGTAAACACATGATTGTACCATAATTCAGAGAGACAGAGAGAGGGAGGGAGAGACAGACAGAGAGAGAGGCAGACTGACAGAGAGACAGACAAAGAGAGGGAGACAGACAGAGAAAGAGAGAGAGACACAGAGAAAGACATCCAGAGAAAGAGAGAGAGAGAGACAAAGAGAGAGAAAGAGAGATTGAGAGAGATTGAGAAAGACAGATACACACACCCCCCTTTCTCTCACTCTCATGTGGCCTCCCTTTCTTGCTTCTAGATATGGTTCCTCTGCATGGTTTCCTTTTGCATAATCCTAAAAAACGTTCTTGTGAGCAAAGCAGTGGTGATTAAATGGACAGGCTGTACTGTGTGACTCTTCTGCCCGTCAGATCCCCTCCTCCAGCCAACATCTTCCCTCTGCTCAATGATTGCATTGTTATCGTACTTTATCTAAACAACATGTATGTGAGCATTTCGGTGGTTAAACACAAACTGTGAGAAGCAGCACTGTGGGTGGAAATTGAACCCTTGTAAATCTGCGTATGCATTTGTTTGTCTACGATCGCGCTGCTTAGGATTTAGGTGTAAACTCTGAGCTATGGACTCTTTCTGTTGGGTCAAACAACATGTATTTGTGAGAGAAAGGTTAAGAGCCCCAGCTTTAAATACCACAAAATAGGTCCAGTTGTGTAAATCAGCACTTATTTATCCATGGAAACAACAGAACAACTTTATATGATCAGAATCCAGGAGAATCTGGTTTAATCAGCTAGAGAATAGTCTTATTACAACAGCTGGATATCAAATTTATCAAACAACTCATGACTGATCCAACACATTTTCCTGAATTGGCGAAACCTCTGTTAGAACTTCAGGCTTCACTGATTTTTTTCACCAGTTAATAGTCGTGTCCTTGGGCAAGACACTTTGTCCAGTCAAATGGGCACAGAAAGGGAGGTCCAGTCGTATGCCTTTTAATTACTATTGAATGTTTCCTTACATGTTATAGCACCTTTCCCTGTACATGCAAAGTGCTACAGAAACTTGTATTGCCAGTTTCTGTCAGACAGCTGTAGGGAAGCTATTTGTGAATAATGAGTTTGGCTTTTTCAGAAATTCTCCTCCACTTCTCACATGTTTAAACCCTATTATTTAATATGTGACCAGGCTGGATGCACCATTGAGGTCCCTGAGGTCAAGACCTTGGTATGTTTGCGCCTTCTCTTCTTTAATTATTTTTCTTACATAAAATAGCAAATACGTTTGGTAACCTTGTGAAAACAGGACCAACAATATGACAATATCCCAAAGTAGCCCCCAAGAAAAAATAATTGCCATCCCCTGCCTTGGAAACGTTAATATTGATAATTTTGTTTTTAAACGGCCATTAAATTTTCAAAAATGAAAATGAAATAATGAATATTGTCTACCAAATGAATTGCAACATATGAATAGGAAGATTAATTGATCATTAAAATAAATTTGATATAACATTGCATTTCTTGTGTTTGAACTGTTTGATTCTCTGATCCGTGTTGGTTTTGTTAAGTCCACCGAGATAACTACAGTTGTGATTTGGGGCTGTACAAGAATACATTGAATTGAATTGATGCTGATTTGTGAAATTATTTTCTAGGTCTCTCGTTCATACGTTTCCGACAGAAGACTTTTCATTGACAAGTTTTCATTTAGCTGGTGACCGTTGATGATAATGTTGGCTTGGTCCATATCAATATATCATATCACAAGTTGTTATTTCTATGAGTACTTGTACACCAAATTACACAAGAAGATTGCATATTATGTTTGTGTGTTTCTTTAGGAGGACACCAAGAGTAAGACAAAACGTATACAGCGTCTTAGTATACAGAAGAGGTGTCCAAACTACAGAGGGCCACTTTAGTTCACCAGACCCACATTGTAAAACTGTTTTGACGGGATTCAGGCTGTTCTGAACTTTAGAATTTGCTATGTCAGAGCTGAAGTTGGCTGAATGACAAATGCCATCTCACAAGCTATACATTAGCGCCATTAACTGAACTTTGTGAGTATCAAAAACAAATGAAAGTATAAACAAGTAAAAGCTGGACTCCAGAGGGTCTGAGCTTTACAACAGGGTTTAGCATGCATATACTGGTGAAGCTGAAGTTGGCTGGATGACACTGTGAACTCGTGTTTACGATCTCAAAGACGAGATGTTATCAAGGTGGAGGGTGTGAATATAGTACCACTCTTTTCTGACTGTTGCACCGAGCCAAAGCAATTTCCCATACTGTGACTTCCTGTTAGTAAGTAGTAAGTAAGTAATGTTTATTTATATACCGCCTTTCACAGACAAGGGTCACAAAGCGGTTTACAATTGTTATTATTTTTTTTTTTTCACTTACATTGCAATAAAAATTATTCTGATTCTGATCATTACCATGTTCTCAATTATGTATTCATGTTTCATAATAATGTTTTACCTCCAACCCCACCTGTTTCATATAACTCAGCCTCCAAATAATGCAGTTCCTGTTTTGTGCACAGAAAACATGTGGTCTCACAGTTACTCTCCTCCAAGTTAACTTATTCTGTTACAGTCTGAGGGCTCACGCCGCATACCACTCTGAAAACAGAGGGCCACACAAAATGCCTGTAGCATACAATCTTTGGATTACAATTGATTCTCATTGTGTAAATCTACTAAACAAATTGGACTATTGGGTTTTTCCACAACCTTCGTACACAACCTGGCTATGACAACTCCGAAGTTTAAACAGAAATCTATTGACCACATTTTCTGCTTTGTTTTGTCTCGCTATCAGTACAGGACATTCCCGGGGTCACGTTATCATCCCATGCAGACTGCTGCGGTCCGGACCCGCGCGGTTCAGTCTGCACTAGTCCACACAGGGAGACGCAGGGGGGGAGGACAGGGAGAGACAGGGAGACACAGGGAGGGAAGGGAGACACAGGGAGAGACAGGGAGGGAAGGGAGACACAGGGAGAGACAGGGAGACGGAGACGCAGGGGACACAGGGAGACACAGGGAGAGACAGGGAGACACAGGGGACACAGGGAGACACAGGGAGACACAGGGAGACACAGGGAGACACGGGGGGACACGGGGAGAGACAGGGAGACACAGGGAGACACAGGGAGACACGGGGGGACACGGGGAGAGACAGGGAGACACAGGGAGACGCAGGGAGACACAGGGAGACACAGGGAGACACGGGGGGACACGGGGAGAGACAGGGAGACGCAGGGAGACACAGGGAGACACGGGGGGACACGGGGAGAGACAGGGAGACACAGGGGGACACAGGGAGAGACGGAGACGCAGGGGACACAGGGAGACACAGGGAGACACAGGGAGACACGGGGGGACACGGGGAGAGACAGGGAGACACAGGGAGACGCAGGGAGACACAGGGAGACACAGGGAGACACGGGGGGACACGGGGGGACACGGGGAGAGACAGGGAGACACAGGGAGACGCAGGGAGACACTGGGAGAGACAGGGAGACACAGGGGCCCAGTCTGAGCAGGCGGTTTAAAGGGCCTGGTGTTGATATTTGAGGAACTTCCCGAGCGCGTCGCTTCTTTCATAATGCACAATTATGACCTCGGCTAATGTTTGCGCCGGTATTTTTAGCCTCTCGCCAGCGACAAAGGAAATGATTGTAGGTGAGAGAGAGAGAGGGGAAGAGAGAGAGACAGAGAGAGAGAGAAATACAGTGAGAAAGAGGACAAGAGAGAGAGCAATAGAGAGAGCGAGAGAGACAGACATACAGAGAGAGAGAGAGAGAGACAAGAGAGAGACAGAGAGAGGGAGCGCAAGAGAGAGAGACACACACAGAGAGAGAGACAGAGAGAGAGAGCAAGAGAGAAACAGAGACAGAGAGAGACATACAGAGAAAGAGAGAAGGGGGGTGGGTAGCTACGGCCATGTCTGTCTGACCACAACACACGTATAATAGATGTAAAACACTATATACACAAACGGGTACGTGTAGCTCGACGATGCACGCGCAGAGATGGACGGACGCGAGAAAGGGTACGGGGCGATGTCGCGTCCTCAGCCCGTAAGCAAGAGTCTGTCCTCCCGGGGACTAAACTTTGGGGCCAAACAAGTGCCAGTTCTAAACGCTAAGGCAAATACATATATATACACGGGACAGTAGAGAGAGACAGATAAAGAGGGAGACAGAGACCAGATCCCCCCCCAGGACTTGGATCCCCTCTCCAAGTGTGTCTCTGGAGCCTCGGCGTCGCCATGTACGCTTCTCCAGAGCGGCGAGAGATGGACCACAGCCCGGGCATGGTGTGAGCTGCAAACGCGGAAACAGGAGCGGAGAAGCCCGGAGCCTGAGTAGCCGTGTGTCGGTGTGTGTGAGGGCGGGCAGAGAGGGGTCAGAGGCGGCGGGAGAGACGGTGTTCCGTACCTTTCTTTGTGTGTGTGTGTGTGCTCCGTGCACGGCCCCGGTAGTGTGGCTCTCCGACTGGACAGTGTCAACACTCAGCGGCGAGTGCGCATGCGCCGCTTCCGTTCGCCTCGCGCACACAAAATAAAAGCACCTTTCGCAGTGCCCTGTGGATCATGGGCTGACTTTATACTGTAACTGTTCCATAGATCTACAATCTCACATAGGTCTGCTATACTGTAACTGTCCCGTGGATCTACTGTCTCACATAGGTCTGCTATACTGTAACTGTCCCATGGATCTACTGTCTCATATGGGTCTGCTATACTGTAACTGTCCCGTGGATCTACTGTCTCATATGGGTCTGTTATACTGTAACTGTCCCGTGGATCTACTGTCTCATATGGGTCTGCTATACTGTAACTGTCCCGTGGATCTACTGTCTCATATGGGTCTGCTATACTGTAACTGTCCCGTGGATCTACTGTCTCATATGGGTCTGCTATACTGTAACTGTCCCGTGCATCTACTGTCTCATATGGGTCTGCTATACTGTAACTGTCCCGTGCATCTACTGTCTCATATGGGTCTGTTATACTGTAACTGTCCCGTGGATCTACTGTCTCATATGGGTCTGCTATACTGTAACTGTCCCGTGCATCTACTGTCTCATATGGGTCTGCTATACTGTAACTGTCCCATGGATCTACTGTCTCATATGGGTCTGCTATACTGTAACTGTCCCGTGGATCTACTGTCTCATATGGGTCTGCTATACTGTAACTGTCCCGTGGATCTACTGTCTCATATGGGTCTGCTATACTGTAACTGTCCCATGGATCTACTGTCTCATATGGGTCTGCTATACTGTAACTGTCCCGTGCATCTACTGTCTCATATGGGTCTGTTATACTGTAACTGTCCCGTGGATCTACTGTCTCATATGGGTCTGCTATACTGTAACTGTCCCGTGGATCTACTGTCTCATATGGGTCTGCTATACTGTAACTGTCCCGTGGATCTACCGTCTCATATGGGTCTGCTATACTGCAATTGTCCAGTGGATCTACTGTCTCATATGGGTCTGCTATACTGCAACTGTCCAGTGGATCTACTGTCTCATATGGGCCTGCTTTACTGCAACTGTCCCATGGATCTACTGTCTCATATGGGCCTGCTTTACTGCAACTGTCCAGTGGATCTACTGTCTCATATGGGCCTGCTTTACTGCAACTGTCCCATGGATCTACTGTCTCATATGGGCCTGCTTTACTGCAACTGTCCCGTGGATCTACTGTCTCATATGGGCCTGCTTTACTGCAACTGTCCCGTGGATCTACTGTCTCATATGGGTCTGCTATACTGTAATTGTTCTATAGATCTACTGTCTCATATAGGTCTACTTTACTGCAACTGTCCCGTGGATCAACTGTCTCACAGGGACAGCTACAGCAAGTGTTAGCTAATGTTAGAATGATGTATTTATTTGTTTTGTTTGTATGAATAGATGTGCTTCTGCTGCTACTGGATACCTGAATGTATCCTACAGGGATCAATGAAGTATTTATCTATCTATCTATTGGTCCGTAAAACTGTCCCATATAGATCTACTGTCTCACATTTATCTTTATACTGTCCCATGGCCCATGCACGACACACCGTCTCATGGATCTGCTGTGTCATTCCATGGACTGTCCCGTATGAATGACAAGGCAAGTTTATTTGTATAGCACATACACAAGGTAACTCAAAGCGCTAAACAAAACAAGATAGGAATAATCACAGAAGGCATTCAGATCACGCATAATCACAGGACATTGAAAAGAGTGAAGATATAATCCGTCGGTTGTAGGCACAGCTAAACAGTACTGTTTTTAACCTGGATTACAACATTGTCAGAGTAGAATGCCATCTCACATTTTCAGGAAGACTACTCCTCAGAGTCCGAGTTAGTTCACATGCCACTAACATTTTACAGATGCACAATATTTGTGATTTAATTAAATTAGGAGTTGACTGATAAAAAAATTGTTGATCAATTCATCGTCTACATGATTTAAGACCAACAGCCTTAAAGGAACACAGGATTTTTTGCTCCCTCCTAGTTTTCAATCATTCTGGTAATACATGCTCGTCAAACACAACCACAACGTTTTTTCAGAAAGAGGAGAGGGCGGTTCTTTCCGAAAGTTTGGGAAAATCCTGCTGTATACTTTACCTGTAATAGTAATGTAGTAATAGCATAATATATGATAAGATTGACTTTATTGATCTCACAATGGAGAAATGTACATAGGTCTCTGTCTGTGGCTCAGAGGGACCACCCCGACAGCAAGAACCCAAAAGTAACTTGAACTGAGTAATGTTTTATCCAAACTGTTAAAACGTGAAAGCTTTCCTCTTTTCAGGAGGAATGCAGTGACTCTCCTCACACAGGCTGAACCAGGGGCCCTCACACCCTCCAGGGGGGAGTCCTCTGGGGTCTGCAGGCTGCACATGCCGCTGAGTGGAGTGAGACAGAGTGGACCGATGCTGGACGATGACCACATGTTCCTGAGTGGAGGACCCTGCCCCCTCTTCACTGCACCTGTATGGGCCCCCTCCCCCTCCTGTGTGCTTCATCATCATCGTCATCATCATCACATCTGCAGCTGCTGTTTTCTCTCTCAAATGCCGTTTCTGTCCAGTCCTCCTCATGCAGCAGTCAAAGAGAGGAGAAAACAGCAGGTAAATAACTGTTATTAGTCAGTCCTGTCAGATAGAGGTCTGTCTTTAAAGTTGGAGACACTTAAAGCTGGGGTACTTGTTTTTCGTTTCATAAATGTGTTTTGTTTGTCGCAACATAAAGAGCCTTGTTTTCAGTTGTTTTACACACTGAGAGCTGATTGACTGAGTGAGAAGCAAGATAGAAGCACAGCTAACCACCTCAACCTATAGACGTGAAGTTACAAGCATGGCTAACCACTTCAACCTTGAATTCATGAAGTGAGAAGCGTGGCTATCTACTTCATCCATGTCTGTATTCATAACATTAGAAGCAGGGTTAACCACTTCAAACCTGTAATAACTGGTTAACTACTTCAAACAATCTTAAGGTCGTAACTTTGACATTGAACAGACTTTCTCTTAGGTATGCTCTTGTCTGTCTGCCGTCTCTGGGTGGCACGCCAAGGTATTTCAAGCAGCAAGTGCGTTCACGGAATGCAATGAGTAGAAAAATACTCAAAATGTAATACTTTTTTAGTTTTTTTTGTTTGTCTCATTATGCATTTATTACCTCAACATTTCTTTATATCACTGCAATTCATCCCTTTTCTGTTTCTCTTATCATCTACCTATAGGTTAACAATTATTTATGATTTTGTTGTCTGTCACACACACAGACACACACAGACACACACATTATCTCTTGTCTCCCTTAAAATCAAATATCTCTCCACATATTTTGCTGTTATTTGTCTGAATGTTCTTTTGCAACAACAAAAAACCCGGCATTTGATAACCAGATTCTGTCAAACTCCTCAATCTAAGCAGGGCAGGGCCTGGTACGCACAGGGATGGGAGACCTCTGGCAACACCAGGTCCCACAGTGAATCGTTGTGTCCTTAGGCAAGACACTTCCCCCACATTGCCTAGAATGCGTGGGGTGTGTGCACGAATGATTGATGGTGGTCAAATGATTGTAGGTGAGAGAGAGAGAGAGAGAGAGAGAGAGAGAGAGAGAGAGAGAGAGAGAGAGAGAGAGAGAGAGAGAGAGAGAGAGAGAGAGAGAGAGAGAGAGAGAGAGAGAGAGAGAGAGAGAGAGAGAGAGAGAGAGAGAGAGAGGCATACAGAGAGAGAGAGACACAGAGAGCAAGAGAGAGAGAGAGAGAGAGAGAGAGAGAGAGAGAGAGAGAGAGAGAGAGAGAGAGAGAGAGAGAGAGAGAGAGAGAGAGAGAGAGAGAGAGAGAGAGAGAGAGAGAGAGAGAGAGAGAGAGAGAGAGACACAGAGAGAGAGAGAGAGAGAGAGAGAGAGAGAGAGAGAGAGAGAGAGGCAGACAGAGAGAGAGAGACACAGAGAGCAAGAGAGAGAGAGAGAGAGAGAGAGAGAGAGAGAGAGAGAGAGAGAGAGAGAGAGAGAGAGAGAGAGAGAGAGAGAGAGAGAGAGAGAGAGAGAGGCATACAGAGAGAGAGAGACACAGAGAGCAAGAGAGAGAGAGAGAGAGAAAGAGACAGACATACAGAGAGAGAAACCGAGACAGAGAGAGACATACAGCGAATAATAGAGGGGCCGATGGCACATGCTGGTTGCCTCGCTTGTGTCATTGTGCCCCAGGGCAGTTGTCCAAAAAAAGCGCTGTATATAAAAAAACAATGCATTATTATTCATTACAATGATTATACATGTGGTAGTACTTGTTTATTCAGTGCATTCTCTCTGTCCTCTTGACTCTTGAATCGATCACTCGTCTCCTTCCTCCTCGCGCACACGTCAGCCTCACCCTCAGACCTCGATGACATGTGAAGGACACTACCCCCTCCTCTGCCTCACCGCCTGTAATTAACTCGGCTCTCTCCAGCGCCTCGGCAACGCCAAAGCACCGCGGCAGGAAGGAGAACAGATGAGGGCCTTCTTTGTCCAGCCCTTTGTCCGGCGTCGTCCATCCACGCTCACAACATGGTGCTTCCAACTTCTCACTGGGCCGAGGAAATCCTTTGATGTGACCATGCATCTAACTTTAGATCAGCTCTCAGCCCAAAGCGTCAAATAGTGACTCACAGGGATCTTTCTTACAAGTATGCTCCAGATAACAGATTTTTTAATAATATTTGATTTGAATTGATCTTTCTCAAGATTCTTTCATATTGCATGCATCTTTTATGAGGAAAAAAGTGATGTCACCCAGCTTTAAAATGTATTTATATATCTGTTTGACAATAACTATTACCCAAATAATTGTGTGTGTGTTTTTGTTTGTTTATCTTTCTGCATTTTGTTTATTTGTGTAAGTTGTTCTTTTCTTGTAATAAAAATAGAAACATCTAATAAAGCTTTAATAAAAAAAATATTTAAACTCAAAATTATCACTGCAAGAATTTCAGAACATTCAGTAAAAAGCAGAGGATTACTTGTATTGGGCAGTAACCGGGCGTGCGTCCAACTTCTCCCTGGGCTGTGAAGAATCTGTTATTTGACCATGTTTCCTGTAGTACATCATTTTGCTTTTGGTCTTTTGAGATTCCACACGCATATAGATTATGTACAGCAGACAGAAGCAGGTGAGGACTTAAGATGTCTTTAGAGCATCTGGATATCATCCAGAATATCCCTGCTGCTAAACTGTCTTTTCAACATTCTCCGCTTCCTACCCTTTTATTTATTGAAAAAAGACAGAAGGAATTGTACAAGTGACTTGTGTATAAAAACATAGTGGGAGATTTCATGCAGAAAAGTAGTGGCTGTAAACATAATTGTCTTATTTGAGTTTCATCAAAAAAAGATTTTTGAAATCAATAAATCGCCACAAACACCTCACGACTTCTGTTCCATTTCTAAACTCGGTATTCTAAGGAATGAATGCATTCCAAATACATTTGCAGTTAGCAATCTTTTGATCCAAACTCATTATTCTCAAATGGATCTTCAGACTGTGAGAAACAGAGCTGTTTACTGCCTGAACAAACAAAGTATTTAAAGGATGTAATACAGGCCTACTCAACCTGCGGCCCAGGGGCCAAATCAGGCCCTCTCCATAGTCTTTTCCAGCCCTCAGCCAATGTTCACTGCAAAAAAAAAAGAAGCAAAAAAAAAAACGAGCAAATGCTGGAATCAAGTCAGGTTTTATCTTGGTTCAAGTGCATTTTAACAACAAATACTTTCCAATGTTTATTATATCAAGCAAAATAGGAGGTTTTCCCCTTCATTTCAGGCCAGAATTTGCTTTTGTTCAATTGGCAAATTTTGTTTTTATACCAACAACATTTGACCTAATTAAAGCATTTTTTTGTTTTCAAAATGTTACTAAATTCTTTTAAAGTTGGCTAAGGTCTGATTTATATCTGGTTGATGATAGTCCAGTCCTGGCTTGGCACTTCAATTCACAGAACTATTCGGCCCAGAAGACATTGCTGTCCAAAAACTACTGCCTTTGTGAAAAATTAGTTGAACAGACCGGTTTCCTCTAAAAAATAATTCTTGTATTTTGGGACAGACATTTGTGGCCTTTTATCTGAGAGCTGAGAAGAAGATCAGACATTCCAAAATCTACTTGTGAACTACTTTCACTGTGATCTGTTCCTCCACAAATAGGTAATAAACACCTTCTACCAAGTGGTGCCTTGGATCCGGAAATAAAGACACATTCCTAATTCAGTCTGAGCCAAAATGAGAATTAGACTTGAAGCGGAACTTTTTTTAAACACCGACACAACTTTTGAGGCATCTCCTTCCCCTCTAAGTGCACCCAGCTGCACATCTGAAACAGGAAGTGGTGCAGGGAGAACAATCAAAGCTAAAGTTACTCGCTCTGCTCTGACTTTGCCGTTCATTCATTACGTCTCATTTAAACTATTGTATTGTAATGTGGGCCTTTAATCACAGACAGAAAAAAACCATTAGAAATGTGTCTAATTCTGTGTCTAATTCTGTCTAATGTCTGCTGTAGACATCATTCTAATCAACTGTCCATAAAAATTAAAACAACTTCATTGATTTAAAACACCTCCAATAAAAGGAAAAACTCTGCACCTAATGTACAAAACTAATTTAATGTTTGAGAGTTTCACCATAATTACCAACTAAGAGGAAGCAAAACATCTAAATGTTCCTGAAATTAGAATTACTTTGAAATCAATGTGTCTTAGTGTTGGTTGATTTAAAAACATGATTCTGTTTGTAGGGTCAGAGAGTGTTTGGACCATGTGTCTGTGTGTGTTTTGTGTCCAACCCCTTTTCAAACTGTGTATTGTGTATTTATATGTTTGGTACCTTCTTATCGTCTTTTGTACAGAATTATGAAAAAATAACTACATTACTACTACTACTACTATACAGCTGCAAAGCGGGCTGAGCTTAGGGATGCAGGAAGTAAAATTCCCATCAGGGAGTTTATTCTTAAAGATGATTTGAAT